AGGGTCAAGGACTGCAGCCTTCAGTATGGACTGAGGTTCAATGTCAAGAAGACAAAGATTCTCACCACTGGACCAATTGGTAGCATCAGGATGGATGGCGAAGAGATTGAGATTGTTCGCAGCTTCAGTTTGCTCAGCTCCACGGTCAACACTCTTGGCGCCAGCAGTCAGGAAATCAAAAAACGTATCGTGATGGGAAACTCTGCTTTTAGGGACCTCTCTAGAGTACTCAAGAGCAACGGTGTCTCTCTGGAGACTAAGGTGTTCCTGATACAGGCCATGGTCTTTGATATCACTTGTTATGCATCAGAGAGTTGGACAATGACTAGGGAGGACAGAGGGAGAATTGATGCCTTTGAGCTGTGGTGCTGGAGAAGAGTACTGAATGTACCATGGACTGCCAAGAAAACAAACAGATTCATCCTGGAGAGGATTAAAACAAGCAAACTCCTTGGAGGCAAGGATTCTGGGGCTTCATCTGACATACTCTGTACATGTTGTAAGGAGGGACAGGTCCTTGGAGAGTGACATCATGCTTGGGAGGGTGGAGGGACGGTGCAAGAGGGGAAGACCCTCTATGAGATGGATTGATTCAGTGACTGGATTAATTTGGATGGGTGTGTCAGAGGCAGTGCGACTGGCATGGGACAGAGCAGGGTTTAGGGCTGTTGTACATAGGGTCGCTATGAGTCGTAAACGACTCGACAGGACATAACAACAACAACATGATGAAATTTCCCAGTAATCTACCTTTAGAGTTTTGAAAAGAAAATTTCATTTCATTTATATGTTCTACTCACAAGTATGTATTTTGTGTCATTGTATTTACAGAATAATTCTTAAAGTTGACTATTTTTTCCAAATCATTAAGTGTAATATTTTCATTTCTAATAAAAAAATAAACAGACAATTGTTTAAGAACAACATTGAAGTCACTCTTAGGCATGGTTACCTGTCAAAGTCAGAGTTCAGTCGCTCGAAATTCTTTATTACTCGAAGGACTTGGACGTCCTGATTGTTGAAGCTTGGTGGCAGCAATCCATGAATGTTTAATTGTTGTCTCTCTTCCAAGGTAAAAGCTAAGTCCTGTGGAGAAAATAAAGACAATAATGTTGGAGGGAGGAAAAAATATATACACATACATGTGCACATATAATCGGAATATAATAAAAATTAATGAGAAATCAGAACAAATAGTGCACTCTGAGCACAACCATCTATCTGAGAAAATCATATACTCTATACTTCCATTTCATCATCATTAAGTAAAATAACTAATATTTTTAGAGCTGTGTCACTTAAACACTGTTAGGATATAATTAGAGGACAGGAGGAAATTATTTGAAGACTCACAAATGATTGGATATATGATCACCATTATTAATTATTATATAATTAAATATAAAATAATTATTATATAATTAAATATAAAAAAACACAGCAGCTATACTGAAAGACTTTTACAATGTGCACATGTACAGGGTACCTATGACCTTCTGTGCTTTCACCTAGAACACAGGTTGGGAAAGGCCTTCTGTACAGTTCTGAGTACCTCTTTCAACACGACTCTCCTATCACCTATTATTCTTCCACTTACTCTTAAGCCAACACTTCTCAATCAACCATTTCTTGAATACACAAGTATGGGTGAACCCTGAAAACAGGGTGAGTGAAGCCCCAAAGAACAAATATTGTATAGTTCTATTGGTAAGAAATATTTACATTATGCGGATGGATAGACAGATAGATACAGAAATTGAGATAGAGATTGAGGTATCTATTGATGTATATAATGATATAGACAGTAATTGCTTTTTGCTGCTGTTTTTGTTGATTACCTTCAAGTCAAACACGTCTCATAGCGACCCTATGAACAAAAGCCTGAAGCCCCTCTACAACTATGGACATTTACCAAAGTTTACAGAGTTTCTGAAGGCATGTTATTCAGGAAGTGGATGATAGATAAACAGATGAGATAGATAGATAGGAGAGATAGTGATAGATATAGTGATATATGTGTTGTTGTTGATTGCCTTCGAGTCGAGCATGACTTGTAGTGACCCTATGAACAAAAGGCCTGAAGTCGCTCTACAACTATCAACATTTATCTATGTTCACAGAGTTTCCAGAAGTATGTTGTTTAGAAAATGGATGCCACTCCTGCTTCCAAGTTTTATATGTGTGTGTGTGTGTGTATGTGTATAGAGAGAGAGAGAGAGAAGAGATATAAAATACATACACACACACATTTAGGAAAAGCTAGGGAGCTCTGGTGGCCTAGTATTAAGAAACTGCTTCAGTATCAAAAGCACACGGTTCAAATCCAGCTGCTCAGTGGGAGAAAGATGGACAATCTCCTCCCGTGGATTTAAACTGCCTCTGAATACACACTGGAGGGTCAGCTATGGGTCAGTTTCAACTTGATGGTGCACAACAACAATTTGTAGTCAGCAAAAAAGAGGAAGGTCCTCAGTGAGATGGACTGATGCAGTGTCTGGGGCAATGGGCACAAGTGTGTCAGGAATGATAAGGATAGTGTTCATGACAGGGTTCAGATCTGCTGTTCATGAGGTTGCTATGAATCATACTCAACAGCACCTAACAATAACAGCAAAGCAATGTAATCATATTTGTGAAGTTCAAAAACAAATAGACCAGAAAAATTAGGTTCATACAAAAACCCCAGGAAGGCTCTAAGGGAGTTTTGGAGCTACAGTAGGTCAAAGTAACAGCAAAGAATCCACAGTGGTCAATAATGGAAGAGAATGATCAGGAAAACCCAGGAAAGGCCCCTCCTTGAAGATTCTAACGTTGTCTATTTGTGCCTCTTTAACCAGATTGTGACTGCTTAAGTTTGGTCCAAGTGCAATCAATATTATACAATATACATGTTGTTAGGATAGTCCTTGGAAAGGTGAAAGATCTGTTTCTTCATTGCTTGATCCGTAGTGTTTATAAAAATGTCTGACATAATTAGCACTCAGCACTTAGTTGAACAAATGAAATAGAAAATAATCTTAAATTCCATTTCAGAGACACTGACATAAAACACCAATACAATTCGTGCACAGGAGTCTGATTAGCATATTCTCATAAAATTATTTTCTGCATTTAAGGCAAATATTCTGTAATGAGAAATAGACATTTGTATTCAAATATAATCTGTAAAATGGAAGGAATAGTTCTCTTGTTAAAGATATAACCAGGACGACTGATAATTGAAAAACAAAAAGGCATGAAATAGGACCTTGAATGAAAAATGCAATTATAAACAACATTGTCGTTATCTAGTGCTATTACAGCAAAAACATCACCAATGGATGACTTTATGAAATAAATTTCTTTTCTTGCAGTTTGGGACAGAGGATTCTGAATTCAGGGTGCCAGCTCCAAGGGAGGACTTTCTCCTTTCCAACTCTGGAAGGAGATCTTTGTCTCTGAATTTCTGTTCCTGAGAAATCTCCATGCGTGTTGGCATATTGTCCTGCATCTCTGCTTACCAGCTAGTTTTTAATCTCTTTAATATGTCAGAAGGAATTAACTAAATATCGCCCCACACTAACCTGGCCTCATTAACCTAAGACAACCTATTCCCAAAGGAGATTATAACCACGGCAGAAAGGTACAGATTTACAATACATATTTTAGGAGGACATAATTAAATCTATAAAATACAGTAATGCATCAATATTTTAAAAACTCCAAAGCTTTAATTCATTGCTGTTAAATCAGAATCAAGTCATAGCTGACCCTCCAGCAGGTTTTAGAAGGCTATCAATTGCTGGAGAAGAGTGTTCAACATACCAAGGGCTGCCAAGAGAATAAACAGGTCTTTCCTAGAGAGGATGAAACCAAGTTTCACTTTGGAGACTAGAATTATAAGCTCTATCTCATATACTTTGGGCACGTGACCAAAAGAGACCAGTCCTACGACAAGGACATCATGCTTGGAAGGGTGGACAGACAGCACAGGAGGGAAGATCCTGGATGAGATGGATTGTTACAGTAACTGAGTAAATGGAGGTAGATGTATCTGAGACAGTGAGATTGGCTCAGCATGGATCAAGGTTAAGAGATATTGTACATAGGGTCACCATGAGTCACAGGTGACTCAGTGGCACAAAACAACAATAACAATTTCAACAGAGGAAACTCCCCGCCTTTTCCTCACGGTGCTACTGGATCCAAACCGACAGAGAGGCATGGACTTTGGGTCAACAGCACAACTCCCATGTGCCTATACGTGGTGTACAGAGAACTCTAGCGGCATAGTCCAGGGGAGTTTTGCTGTTAACTCAAATGGAGCTCCTCTCTGGTAGTTCAAATCCACCGGCACCCATGTGGGAGAAAGACAGGTTTCATTTACAGCCTCCAAAAACCCACCGGAATGTTAGGTATCAGTTGATTCTGACTAGACAGTGAGGACAATTACATTTGAAAAAGAAAGAAAATAAACTCAACAGACTTTTCTAACAAAAATTGCCACAGGGGGGAAAATAGGCTAAAGGTAAAGCTTCAAAAATACAAACAATCCCAAAAGTGCATGGTTCAAATCAACCAAATGCGCCACTGGCGAAGGATACACAATCTCCTCCTGTGCCGGTCGGATCTGACTCCACCATACACAATGAGGGGGGGAAAACCCCACCAAAAATATAAAATAAACTTCTGAATACTGTCCCTTGAAAAAAATCTGCCTGAAAAAATAATCACCAAAATATCAATATACTGAGAGCAAAGCTTGTCAGAAGTACTAATATATGCTCCTTTCCTTTCTTAATAATAGCACTTAACAATTTATTACTATAGTTAGTGTTTTCTAAATACGCTTTCCGAAGTCTGATCTGAAACTAATTCCTAAATATAACAGATTTATAATGCATCAGACGTCTTTTGATATTCTTTGATACTTGGTACCTACACACTCCCACACACTGTCGACCTAGACATACTAAAGTGCCTCTTCAACTCTTAAAAATAATTGTGATTTAGAAATCTGGAAACTGGGCCAAGTGAAGGTCTTAGAATAGGCTTCATGTTTCATATTCTACTACTACCTTTTACCAATTAAAGAAATGAACAAACAAATAAAAATGAGTTAAAAATTTCACACTGTAAAACTCCTGGATGATTTAAAACATATACTGAATGGTTTCATTTAAATCACTGCCTTGAAGAATACTGATATTTTATCAGTGTTCCTCCTACCAAACAGCAAACCCCCCAAAATAGTCAAAGAAACAATAAGATGAATTTTGAATCATTTTATAATCTTGTTTATATATTTTTCTTGCTTGTGTCACACTTTTTATTTTTAATTTTTCATAATATAAGAGAAATACTTAGAAAGGTTTATTATGTAAAATTTATTAACAAGTCAGTTTTACCTAAAACTTGATAGGAAACTTTGAGTTTAACAATGGCACAGTTTCTCAATTAAAATCTAATGTAACATATATCTATTTCAAAGAATTTTTACCTTACATTATCCTGCAAGGCCTATCCAATGAAGGATAAAACATCTAAAGTATATATTCAAATTGTAACTTTCGTTTGATTTCCAGAGTCTTTTATGTAGCTGAAGAGATTAGATGTCTATGTTTATCTCAGGTTTCCAGACCACCTGTAATTCTAATTCCCCAAGAGCAGCCTTGCACATTACAGATTCAACCCTGGTTTTTTCTCACTTTCCATCTCCCTTTTACTCTCTCTGTTCCCTAGAAACCCTCTTGGACTAGATCCCCAGACAGCAGGATGGTGTGGTGTTTCACTGCTAAAGGCAGTACACAGGGCAACTATTCTTCTGGACTCTACTCATTAATCTACGTATACAGTTTTGAGAAAACTGAGACCATCAAGAGTAAGTGGAAACAAAATTCCTGGCATAACAAGAGATTTGTATTAGAAACTGTATTTGCAGGGGACAAACATAACAGAGAAAGAACCTTTGTCTTTAGTAATTTATCAGAAATCATTTACAACTAAAGCAGAGTGACAGTTTCTCCATTCTGCACTGACCATCTGTCATGTTTCCAATGAACGAAAGTAGTGTGCCTTATTTTTCACCTGGATGTTAACTATAAAAA